AACATCAAAGCGACAGCGGAAATTCACCTGCAGTGTCCACATGTCTGAAACAATTCTGCGCGGCGTTAGCTGGCTTGCAATCCTTGAGTGAACACACTCGGGGGGTGACGGAAAAATTCAGCGACGATTGCGATACTTTCTAATGCGAGACTTCGAAGTTTTTGTTTCGCAGTTATTCATGCACACAAGTTGTTTGAGATTTGACAGAGACAACACGCGGTAGAAGCTACTGCATCGAATCAATAGGTGTTCACTCACCACACCACGCGCGTTTGCGCTTTCTTAATTGCAACAAGCATCTCAGAAGCGCGCTGGTTACCATATACAGAGTGTTTCATGAAATGTGTCCCCTATTATTGAAAAAACAAATGCGAACGAACATTATTTACGGCAGTAATTAGAATATTTAGAATAGTAATAGAATCATTAGAATAGTAATAGAACACCTGGGGTGTTTCTTTTACTGTGGAAGGAGGCATCTTCAGATGCCTACAAACTATAATTATAGCAATAATTGGAATAATTAAAATAATAATAGAACACCTGTGGTGTTCCCTTTACTGTGGAAGAAGGCATCTTCAGATGCGTATGATCATTAATATGGCAGTTATTAGAATACTTAGGGTAGTAATAGAGTCAATGAAACAGTAATAGAACACCTGGGGTGTTCCCTTTACTGTGGAAGAAGGCATATTCAGATGTGTATGAACAATAATTATAGCAGTAATTAGAATAATTAGAATGGTAATGTAACACCTGCGGTGTTCCCTTGATTGTGGAAGAAGGCATATTCAGATGGGTACGTATATTATGGCAGTAATTAGAATAATTAGAATAGTAATAGAATGACTAGAATAGTAATAAAACACCTGCGGTGTTCCCTTTACTGTGGAAGAAAGCATCTTCAGACAGGTACGAACACTATTTATGGCAATAATTAAAGAAATAACACAAATCACTTCTTAACACGTGGAAAGAAGCGATCGAATAAAATGGGCGAATACAAGTCCTTCCTGCGATTAGTCCACAGCCAGTTTGAAACTTCTGAAAGGTGGCCACTGGTAATCACCACTGGACAATGAAGTGTGGCAGCCTGGGCTAGTTGGTATGGCATGACGATAGTTATAGCGCGAGAACAAAACGACGACACAAAGACAAGAAGAACACGAAGGACACGAGCACTCGTGTCCTTCGTGTCCTTCTTGTCTCTGGGACGATGAAATCTGGCTCATTTCCCAGGCGACAAAAAAAAAAAAAACCGAAGCACCGAACAGTGCATCTACCATTCACTTCGTAAACGCCCGCACGGCCCCTTATCTCCGCTCGCTTATCCTTCTCCCCCGATGCGAGGGGAACAGTGTCGTCATTGAGGGCGTTTTACAAGTTTGTACGCATCTGAAAAATGCCTTGTGCCACACGTAGCACGCAGGTATACCGCCTTCTTGCAATTTTATTGCGATTCTTCCTTTCTCTTTCAACCCACTATTCCCCAACCCCAGTGTAGGGTAGCATACCGGATACTAGCATCTGGTTAACCTCCCTGCCTTCCTTTTTTCTCGTCTCTCTCTCTCTCTCTTATTGCGATAGCAACTATATGGACACTCTCGGATGGATTTCACCACCGGCGTCAGCGTGGGCGTCGATGTCATGCACCGTATATGTATACGTATCTATATATATGAATACGCAAGAAAAGAAAAAGAAATCCCAGAAAAAAGACTTTGGCGCGCGGAATCGAACGCGGCACCTCCGCGTCGTGAATGCGAGGTGTGAGCCATTGTGAGGTACCTCCTTCAGAGATCAAACGGCAAGCTATTCATATCTACCACTTACCGCTGTAGGCGGGTATCTTGGGAGAAAACTATCGTGTTTTCAGCATTATCAGCAAGATGGCGCAGTGAGCGCGCTGCGGCTTTCATCTCTCACGCGTATTTTGGCCCACGTAGAGAATAAGGGGGTGTACGCTTGATTGCGCTCCCTTGTCTTGCAGTGGGAAGAATCGTACGTCTTGGCTGGCCTTTGGGTTTCGTCGGAACAATTCTGTAGTAGTTACCGGGCGCACAAAGGTCACTGCAATTGTTGCACAGCCTCCACTTGCGAAAAGGGTGCGCTTTTCAGACACAGCAAAGTAACAACTGAGACGCTTACTCGCGTTCATCTGTACCTGTGAGTACGTTTCGTGCGTCATTTGTGCGCGAGAAACGCAGGGCACGTTTCAATCTGCTTTTAATTCTGCGCATGACCTTCCAATTTGTTGCTATTGCGTTCATTGCTTTGCCTTTGCGACATAGCTGTGACTTTTTTCAATAATAGTGCATGGACACATTTCTTGAAATACTTTCTATACTGAAAGTAAGTTTCACCCACCTCTGCGATCTAGGCCTATAGCAGGTATGGTGCTCGACTGGTAGTTTTTAAAGTCACGGAAATGAGTTCCCGCCGCGAGGGCCTTAGTTGCGATAGTGGCAAAAGTGCTTGAGTCACGTGCGCTTAGGCTCAGATGCTTGTTAAAAAAACCCCAGGTAGAATTTCCGGAGCTCTCTACTGCGGTGTCTCGCATAATCAAACCCTGTGTTAAATTGCTAAAACCCTACAACTATTACAAGTAACACTGGGAAAAACAAGGAATGCGATGGCAAGAAATCCGAATGTTATTCAACGTAAAGCTATTAGCCGACTTGTTTAGCATCTGTACTGCAAAGAAAAGGTCACTGCAGAAAGTAAAACGACCTGCGGATTGTCTATGGCTTGAGCGCGTACTGAGTGACATGGCTTAGTGATTAATAGGAAAGCGAAAATCACGTAAAAGCGAGTGAGAAAATGACTCTGAATATATGTGATGCTGATGGAAGCAGCTTGTCAGGAGTGAGCTAATTAGTTGATGTTAACGAGGGAGTTAGAAATTAAGATGAATCAGTGAAACTGAGTGAAAGTACACCGCGCAGTGAAATTTGGTTAGTGAAAGTGACATTAGTGGCAATGAGCGAACGCTGGACGTCGATTTAAAGTGCACTGCAAAATAGCCACGCCGATTAGCGTTCGCCTTTACACTAAAGCACAAGTGTCATAGTTTATTTTTATTACTGTGTAAAATATAAAATGCGAGGTTTTAAATGCAAATATTGATGCTATGACAAATACCATGCAGTGACACGACAACGGGTCCTCGTTCCTAATTAACACTGCGAGCAATGCTTTACAATTTTACGTTCAAAAACGAAGGAAGTACGATAGCTCGCTTAAACGTTGCACGCAACTAGGTGCCGCTACCTCGGTCTTTGGGCCATTTACAAGCCGTTCTCTTGTATCAATTATAGCCTTCTGGATCTTATTTTTGGGTTGTCGCTTCTTGATGCCTGTAATATTTTGTAATTTCGTAACTTAGATTTTTTCTGGTTGAAGGGGCCAGTCAAGCTGTTACTCGCGGCTTTTTTCTTTTTTTCGCACCAAACCACGTATACACGTATATATTTTTGACGTGGTTAAATAAACTCAAACTCAAAGTTAACGATATATGCAGGAATAGTCTAGTTCACTGAGTAAAATATTTAAACGACTCACTTCGTGAGGCAAGTTTTGGGTGCACTATTAATAAGATACGCATAATAACTAAGCGTATTAACGACCATTATGAGGATGATGTTTGTAACGAGGTTACCTAACAGCCGCAGGAATGAGAAATGCATCTGTGCGATCATCTTACTACTGCTGCTGCTCTTGCTGCTTCTCCTCTGCTACGCCGTGTTCATCGTTCTTTCAAGTAAGGGAATCGCATCTGCCTAAAAGCTTGTAATCACAGCGTTCTTATTGATATAGACGGGAATGGGGAAATCTCTTTCATCGGGGTTTTATTACGAAGTATGTGCAGAATTTAACGAATAAATTACGGACCGTCTCCCCAAAGGGAACCACGATAAAATGCGAAGCAGCAGTGGTGCGCACGGCGTTGGCCCCGTTGAAACGGTTGTCGACGTGGCTGCCTGCTGGAAGAACGGTTTGAAGCGAAACTCGGTGAAGCGTTTACTAGAGTAATCGTTTGTTGGAAACGCAAGGACACAAGAGACGGGGTGGGTTTCGTGTAAGTTTCATCGCAGATAAAACGATCCAAAAGATTAGACATATTAGGGAGTTTTTGAATACCGTTTGCAAGCGCTGCGGGCGTTGTGGGCGTAGCGGGCGCCATAAGAGTTTTCGAATAGCGTTTGCCTTGATTGATTGATTTGTGGGGTTTAACATCCCAAAACCACCATATGATTATGAGAGACGCCGTAGTGGAGGACTCCGGAAATTTCGACCACCTGGGGTTCTTTAACGTGCGCCCAAATCTGAACACACGGGCCTACGACATTTCCGCCTCCATCGGAAATGCAGCCGCCGCAGCCGGGATTTGAACCCGCGACCTGCGGGCCAGCAGCCGAGTACCTTAGCCACTTGACCACCGCGGCGGGGCTAGCGTTTGCCCTCCTGCAAACCGCAACGCACAATCCCAGTGACACTGTAGAGCCTCGAAACCAGCGTTTGCGGGCCGCACACGCGGTCACTATTTTGGATTTTCTGCGGGCGGGCCGTGAGCGCAAACGCTGACTCGCGTTACGGCGCATGCGCAGTGGCAGCGACCGCACCGCAAGGGCTCGCGGTGCGCTATTCTAAAACTCCCTATTTAGTCACGCGTCCACAGTAGCCGTATGGACGCAGATTGTCATGGCTATTTGCAATGGCAGGCCGAGTCCTATGACATTCGACAGAAACGATACTGGAGAGTTTCAGAACAGTGCTCCGCGAGCCCTTACGGTGCGGTCGCTGCCTCTGCGCATGCGTCGTAACGCGAGTCGCCGTTCACGTTCGCGGCCCGCCCGCAGAAAATCGAAAAATAGTGGCCGCGTGTGCGGCCCGCATGCGGTCCGCAAACGCTGGTTTCGAGGCTATACGGTGTCGCTGAGATTGTGCTTTGCGGTTTGCAGGAGGGAAAACGCTACTTTAAAAACTTATAAGCGCCCGCTATGCCGGCAAGGTGCGCAGCGCCGGCAAACGTTATTCTAAAACTCCCTACTGTTAGCCTAACAACGCTATACGCAAGCAATATAGAAAAGTTTGTCAGTATTGTAAAAACTTGCTGCGACTATGCATACATAGAAGGTAAAAGAGTTACTGCGTAAAGCATTAGTTTACTTTAAAATATATCCTTAGTACGTACAGCGTACGTTTTAAAAAAGGAAATTGTGAACGACTTAACGGATCAGATTCATGAAATTGTAAGCCCGTGTTTAGAGAGAATAAAGTCGTCCCGTAAGCGTTCACCTGCATCGAGTTCTTACAAATGGTACACAATGCCGTCTACACAACTGCTATATAAACTGAGCTAGAAACAGTAGGCCGGTTATTTTGCACTTGTTTTATAGACGTAATTAGCTAACATTGGACAAAAAAAAAAACACTGGTCTTCTTTTTTTTGCGTTCAGTGTTTGCGCCCTTAATTTCTTCTTCCGTACATGTTTTTTTGTTGTTGCAGAAGTAAAATGTTGGAAATGTTGATTCACTTGAAAAAACAACAAAAATGCTTGCTAACCATACGTATATTGTCAGATGGTCTAGATCATAAGTTTTTATAAATTATCTCGCATGAATTTTTTATTACGCTTCAAATTACCCTCTAATCGATCTCCTCCTGTCGTATTGAAAGTGCGTCTTCATTATTATACACGATTTGATTGCCCCAACTTGATTTTCGAGAAAAATAGCTGGTAATGTCCTCGCAGGAGTACTTAGAAAGAATTTCTTAATCAAAGTCGTCCGAAATATAGAAAAGATTTCATTACTCAACATTTCAGCATTCTTTACTGGATTTTTACTGAAGCAGCATAACTCGGCTAAGTGAAATTTACTGAATTTTTTTATCGAGAGAAGTGAACTCTACATGCTACAGAAAATAGAATTGTGAGTGAGCATCTGTATTTATTTTACAATGAATGCCAAAGATTTATATCACAATGAACAAATTAAATTGTAAAGACGTGAGTCGATGATTCTAATGTCTATGTTGGAAAGTTTCTTGTCGTGCCTTTGTGCGAGCTTTGATCTTTTTGTGCTTCTTCGATCTAGAGTGTGGCAACTCGGCAAACACAGTATTATGAATATGGAAATGCTTTTACGTTAACGATTAGATGTAGCATGATGCACAGTTTTATTAAGGTATAAATTGTAGAGTGGTATATATATATATATATATATATATATATATATATATATATATATATATATATATATATATATATATATATATATATAAATTTTTCCGTGCTTTGACACAATAGTATTGAGATCTAACAAACAATAATGCCAAGGAACACACACACACACACACACACATTATATATATATATATATATATATATATATATATATATATATATAATATATATATATATATATATATATATATATATATATATATATATATATATATATATTGTTGCGTGAAGGCACAAGGGAAACTAGGCGTTTTAAAATATATTTACACAGCGCCAACGCGCAAGCCAAGATGGCGAACAAGAGAGAGCGCGCGCACACACAAAATCACCTCGTCTTCCTCAGCGCCTATCTCACTGTTTAAGTGGGGCATTGTCTCGTAACATAACCCCCGGGTGCTGAAGCACCGTCTCGGTGCTTTCTATTGTGTTGCCGAGTGGTAAAGCTTAAGGCGGGATACGTGGACAATGTCTGTAGACAGCGAAGCGGAGGCGGAGGAAGACTCGAGCGGGGCTATCTCGTATGTCACATCTGTCACCTGGCGCAATACGCGGTAGGGTCCCGAGTACCGGGAAAGCAGTTTTTCAGAAAGTCCGACGCGTCTAGTCGGAGTCCACAATAGCACAAGAGAACCTGGTGTAAAGGAAATTTGGCGGTGATGTGAGTCGTAACGATGCCGCTGGTGATCTTGCGATGCTAAAAGGCGCTGACGAGCAACTTCTCGTGCTTTGCGAGCCCTGGTGATAGCATCACGGGTGTATTCAGTCGTGAAGTCGACGGCTGTCGGAAAGATGGTGTCGAAAGGTAAAGTTGGATGACGGCCAAACACCAGATAGAAAGGTGAAAAACCAGCTGCATCATGGCGTGAAGAATTATAGGCAAACGTAACGAAGGGCAATGCAACGTCCCAGTCCTGGTGGTCGGACGATACGTACATAGCGAGCATATCAGTTAAAGTCCGGTTGAATCGTTCAGTGAGTCCGTTAGTTTGCGGGTGGTAAGCTGTCGTAAATTTATGTTTCGTCTCGCAGGAGCGAAGCAGGTCGTCGATAACTCGGGAAAGGAAATAGCGCCCACGATCTGTTAGGAGTTGGCGTGGGGCGCCATGGTGAAGTATGACGTCGTGCAGGAGAAAATCGGCAACGTCTGTGGCGCAGCTGGTTGGCAAAGCCCGCGTGATAGCGTACCGGGTTGTATGATCCGTCGCGACAGCTATCCACTTATTCCCCAAAGTGGATGCAGGGAAAGGGCCTAGGAGGTCAAGACCAAGTCGGAAGAAGGGATCAAAGGGAACGTCAAGTGGTTGAAGGAACCCGGCAGGACTCATAGAAGGTTTTTTGCGGCGTTGACACTGATCGCATGAGGCGACGTAGCTGCGGACCGAGCGATAAAGACTGGGCCAGTAAAATCGACGCTGTACGCGGTCATACGTCCGAGACAGTCCGAGGTGACCGGCAGTGGGAGCGTCATGAAGCTGGCCGATCACGCTCGCACGTAAGTGGGAAGGTACTACAAGGAGCAGTTCGTGTCCATCAGGGCGGACGTTGCAACGGTACAATGTGTCATCCTTAAGCACGAACAATCGAGTAGAAGGATCGGGTGCCGCAGAATGAAGCTTCTCGATGATGTTACGCAAGGTAGGATCTCGGCGCTGTTCCTCACGGATGTTGCTTAAAGCGGAGAGAGACAGCACACATGGCGATTCATCGAACGCTTCAGGTGGGTCCACTGGATTCCGAGATAAGCAGTCAGCGTCATGGTGTAAACGGCCAGATTTGTAGGACACCGAGTAGTTATACTCTTGAAGCCGTAGTGCCCATCGACCAAGGCGCCCAGTGGGGTCCTTCAAGGACGAGAGCCAGCAAAGTGCGTGGTGATCGGTTATGACAGTGAAATGTCGACCATGTAAATAAGGCCGAAATTTTGCTACTGCCCAAACGAGAGCAAGGCATTCCCTTTCGGTGATGGAGTAGTTCCTTTCCGCCTGCGAGAGGAGACGGCTGGCATAGGCGATAACGCGGGCGCAGCCGCTTTGATGCTGAACCAAAACAGCACCGATTCCGTAACCGCTGGCATCTGTGTGTACTTCTGTAGGGGCAGAAACGTCGAAATGGGCCAGAACAGGTGGTTTTGTTAGCGATTCAATAAGTGTAGAGAACGCCGTAGCCTGCGCAGCGCCCCATGTGAATGAGACATCTTTTCTCAATAAGTCTGTGAGAGGACGGGCGACTTCCGCAAAGTTGTTCACAAAACGTCGAAAGTACGAGCACAGACCGAGAAAGCTGCGTACTTCTTTAGTGCAGGTCGGAACAGGGAAGTTACGCACGGCTCGCACTTTATCGGGATCAGGACGTACACCAGAGGAGTCGACAAGGTGGCCCAACATTGTTAGTTGCTGGCGTCCGAAGTGACACTTTGACGAGTTCAGTTGGAGACCGGCATTGCGAAATACGGCCAGTATTGAGGAAACGCGGTCGAGGTGGGTTTCAAAGGTCGGGGAAAAGACGATAACGTCGTCAAGGTAGCATAGACAAATTGACCATTTGAACCCACGCAAAAGAGAGTCCATCATCCGCTCGAAGGTGGCTGGAGCGTTGCATAATCCGAAGGGCATGACCTTAAATTGGTAAAGACCATCGGGGGTGACAAAAGCGGTCTTCTCGCGGTCCATGTCATCGACAGCAATTTGCCAGTAACCTGCTCTTAGATCAATAGAAGAAAAATACTTAGCGCCGTGAAGACAATCTAGGGCGTCGTCTATGCGCGGTAGCGGGTAGACGTCTTTTTTAGTGATCTTGTTCAGATGTCGGTAGTCAACACAGAATCGCCAAGTGTTGTCCTTCTTTTTGACAAGAACAACAGGGGAAGCCCATGGACTACATGATGGTTCAATTATGTCTTTGGCGAGCATGTTGTCGACTTCTGCTTGAATTATGTGACGCTCGGTCGAAGATACGCGGTATGGCCGTCGATGGACAGGGGAGGCATCGCCGGTGTCAATGCGGTGCTTTACCGCACTGGTTTGACCTAGTGGACGATCACAAAAGTCAAATACGTCCCAGTATGACTCAAGAACGCGAAGGAGTTCGTCAGCTTGATGCGGCAAAAGGTCTGACGCGATCATTTTTTTAACATCAGGAGACGGGCTTCCTTGCGAAGATCGAGCATGTGTGAAGTTGGAGTGTCGAGCCTCGTTCGAAGACAGAGCTGATATGACGCATTCTTCAGAAGGAGTCAGCATGGCGAGGGCGATTCCGCGCGGAAGCACTTGCGGACACAGAGCAAAGTTGAGCACAGGAATGCAGGCGCGGTTTGCACGTAACTGAATAACAGTGTGTGGTAAGGTAACACTGTGGGTCAAGAGAAGGGATGTGATGGGCGCGAGCACATAGTCACCATCGGATACAGGTGGCGAGGGCGTAACGGTGATGCAGGTCACAGTTTGCGGTAACAAACGGACATGTTCAGCAGAGCACATACGGGCTTGCGGTCGACTGGGCGGATCAATCGGACACGGTAGGTCAAGTTGCACAGTACCGGCTGAACAGTCGATGAGAGCGGAATGAGTGGACAAAAAGTCAAGGCCGAGGATCACGTCATTGGTGCAATGAGAAAGAACAGTGAAGAGAACTGAAGTTTGACGGCCGGCAATAGTAACGCGTGCAGTACAGACGCCAATAACAGCAGCCGTACTACCATCAGCAACGCGAACGCTGCGTGAAGGGGCTGGAGTAAGTACTTTCTTTAAGCGGTCTCGAATGTGCAGGCTCATCACAGAAATATGGGCGCCAGTGTCTACTAAGGCTTTAACAGATAAACCGTCCACTTCAACGTCGATCAAGTTCTGATTGGTCGGGAGCGTCAACAGAGGAATTGGAGAGCAAGTCGTATCAGCAGCGTCACCTCCAGGAGCTGCAGCCGTTAGTTTTCCGAAGAAAACCGCCGGGCAGAGGACGGGGACGGGGAACGAGGTGGTGGTGGAGATCGGGAAAATCTACGTCGAGGTGAAGGTGAGCGACTGTACTGGGCAGTGGTCGTAGTGGTCGGGTCGTAATTAGCTGAGCCATCACGCCGTGGTGGTTCCTGGTCATAGAGGTGGGCCGGTGAATGGGGGTTGGAGAAGTTTGGGTTTGCCCGATACGGTGAGGTCCACGTGCTTCGGCAATGACGGGAAATGTGTCCCACTCGTTCACATCGGAAGCAAATCGGCCTGTCATCAGGCGTTCTCCACGCATTTGGGTCACGATTACGTGGAGCAGGGCGGCGATACTGCTGTGGGTGGCTCGGGGTAGACGAACTGACAGCGCCGGGACGGTGCACAGAACAGACTGTGTGAACACCCGCGTTGGCTAGTTCCTGGCGAACAACGGTCTGTATTAGCGATATGGTCGGCTGAGGATCACTCGGTGCCAGTGCTCTCAAGGGGGCGGGTGAGATGGCTTCGATTTCACGGCGTACAATTCTCGTGATGTCACTGGAGTGTGAATTGGGCAGGGTCGGTACACAGAGATCCGCACATGTTGACGTCGCAGCAGTGTTGGGAAGGCGCGTAAAGTGGTAAGCAATGCGACGGCTTTTAGCCTCTTGAAACTGTTGGCACTCCAAGATAACATCTTGCACGGTGGAACAGCCTTTGCACACAATGAGGTTAAATGCATCGTCTGCGATGCCCTTGAGCACGTGCGCTACCTTGTCGGCTTCAGCCATGGTTCGGTCAACTTTACGGCAAAGGGTCAGCACATCTTGAATATACGCCAGGTAGGACTCCGTGGACGTCTGAACACGTGTGCCAAGTTCTTTCCTAGCGGCCTGCTTGCAGCCGGCAGATTGACCAAACAACTCGCGTAATTTGGTCTTGCATACGTCCCAGCTTGTGATACCGTCCACATTGTTATTAAACCACGCCTTGGCCGTTCCTTGTAAATAAAAGATGATGTTTGCCAGCATTAAGGTTGGGTCCCACCTGTGATTTGTGCTGAAGAGTTCGTAGAGTTTAAGCCACTCATCCACGTCCTCGCCGTCCGTTCCCGAAAAGTTGCCGGGATCGCGGGGTGGAGCGGCCACGAGATAAACAGGAGAGGTCGGCGCCATTGATGCATTGGGCGTAGCAGTTGAGGAAGCGTCGCTGCCGGTGGACATGTTGGGAGCAGAGACTAGGCGTCCGCTGCGTAACTCCGTCGTGCGTTGTAACCCAGCACCTTCCACCAAAATGTTGCGTGAAGGCACAAGGGAAACTAGGCGTTTTAAAATATATTTACACAGCGCCAACGCGCAAGCCAAGATGGCGAACAAGAGAGAGCGCGCGCACACACAAAATCACCTCGTCTTCCTCAGCGCCTATCTCACTGTTTAAGTGGGGCATTGTCTCGTAACAATATATATATATATATATATATATATATATATATATATATATATATATGTTAACCCGTGTCTACATGTGGACAAAAACGATGATGGGGGGATTTAGCGGACACCAGGTAGTGGGCCTCTGGCTTGACGCGAGAACGAAGAAGATCTTGTGGCTCAGCTGTTGAGAACACGCTGCTTTTGCTGCCTCAAGGCGTACTTGTGCTTTGTCCGCGTTGTACTGCGACAATATATATATATATATATATATATATATGCAGTAAAAAGAGGTCGACAAACGTGCGAAAAAACACTAGTTTTACTAACGTTTCGGCAGGTGGGCCTGCCTTCGTCGGAGTGAATGGTTACACATGGCACACAGGGCACATATATAAGCCGCTTCTTTGCGTATCACACGGCTAAGTCATTATCAGTAGTATAGGAAACAAGATTATATATCACCAAAGGTACGTGGCTATAGTGTATATACAGCTGAAAACGCGTATCATTATACAATAGTGAATTGGCACGTATTAGATACCCTACACTAGTGTGGAATGAAACAGGTCAGCAAAATAACAAACTGCGCACGCAGTAGCTCACTTGGTAATATGTTCTGCGGGATAAACACAGCCTAAAAACATTCAGTAAGCCTATATAGGCTTACTGGATGTTTTTAGCTGTGTTTATCCCGCAGAACATATTACCAAGTGAGCTACTGCGTGCGCAGTTTGTTATTTTGCTGACCTGTTTCATTCCACACTAGTTGTAGGGTATCTAATACGTGCCAATTCACTATTGTATAATGATACGCGTTTTCAGCTGTATATACACTATAGCCACGTACCTTTGGTGATATATAATCTTGTTTCCTATACTACTGATAATGACTTAGCCGTGTGATACGCAAAGAAGCGGCTTATATATGTGCCCTGTGTGCCATGTGTAACCATTCACTCCGACGAAGGCAGGCCCACCTGCCGAAACGTTAGTAAAACTAGTGTTTTTTCGCACGTTTGTCGACCTCTTTTACTGCATTTTCCACCGGATCCATTGAATATCACCCCACCATATATATATATATATATATATATATATATATATATATATATTATATATATATATATATATGGGAAAGAAGTGTATACCCAAGGGCTCGTTTTTCCGTGTTGTGACACAATAATAATGAGATCTAACAGACAGTAATGCCAAGGAATGTATAGGGAAAGTTATTAGAACAAATGGAATATATATATATATATATATATATATATATATATATATATATATATATATATATATATATATATATATATATATATTATTGTCGTATAAAACATGAACAGCGGCATGCCTTCGTGGTGATGGTATAGTGCGCGCCGTCCACTTACCACCATGGACAAGCACGCATATATGCGCAGAGCTGCCGAGCAGGATGCGCGTTCCACTCTTATTGCGATAACTGGATGGCGTACAGTATACCGTCGCGACGGCTGGCTGCTGTTCAGGTTTCATTTGACGATGGTAGCTCTATGGTACATTGAAATAATGCCGAAGTTGTCGATATGAGCAATTCCAAATTTTACATACACATAAACGTCCCGCTTTTGTGATGTTATGCGTTAATAACGTGTGAACCAACTCATCTGCGTTACTCCTATGTTGCTCCAGTTTTACCAGACAAGCGCTGAATGATTGCATTCGGAGTTCAGACTGGTAGTGTTTGTCTGGTTTTTTTCACTAATAATAATAATGCCTTTATTTTTATCATACCTCGTGCGTGATGGTTGCAGGAAAAGCTGTCACCATGATAGCAAGACAAGATCATTACTTTTTAAGGTACTTGCACATGTTTAGTTAGCAGTCTGTTTGGTACAAATTAAGCAAAACTGATGGAAGTTTTCAACAGCGAAAGCATGATATACGTCTGGGAAAAATGAAGCTTGTTTTTGGAAATACTTTGAATTCGGTTAGATAGGCAGCTTTGGCAGTGCCATAAATTCATGCGCGTTGAAAGTATTTTTTTGTTTCATTTAGAAATGAAATTACGAATTTTAACTCCACTGGTTTTCATGTTTGCTTGCGTGGTCCCAGAAATTAGCGTAAAAACTTCGTCACGTCTCTTTTTTATTATAGCTTAAAGAACCAGAACACGCGTGGGAACTTTAATATTGAAAGTCTCTTGCGTACTTTTAAAAATTTGTTTGCAAAGTTTCTTGTATAACATGATGTGTTGGTAACATATTTTTTCTAGGGCCTCGTCCGACCGTCACCTTGCTGCCTGTAACCACTACTACAACTACCACAACAACCACTACAACTACCACCACAACAACCACCACCACCACAACAACCACCACTTCAACAACCACTTCAACAACCACTTCAACAACCACTTCAACAACCACTTCAACAACCACTTCAACAACCACTTCAACAACCACTTCAACAACCACTACAACCACCACTACAACTACCACCACAACAACCACCACCACTACATCAACCACTACAACCACCACTTCAACAACCACTTCAACAACCACTTCAACAACCACTTCAACAACCACTTCAACAACCACTACAACCACCACTACAACTACCACCACAACAACCACCACCACTACATCAACCACTACAACCACCACTTCAACAACCACTTCAACAACCACTACAACCACCACTACAACCACCACTACAACCACCAGTACAACCACTACTACGACCACCACAACTACAACGACCACCAGTAGTAGTACATCCAGCACATCCACTTCTTCAAGTAAGCTCACGTTTCTGTGTGTTCGTGCGCTGTGTTCAACTTATAGCCAATGAACGGCTTCAATGAGCCACAAGCGAATCCGAAGGCAAAGTGTTCGGGATATAACGATCATTACTCCTCGCTGTGTTAAACGAATATCTGATGTGGCCAAACTATTTGCCAATATTGATAACGACAGAGCTTTCCTATTGAATCGTTCATAATCACAACTAAATGTCTGCAGAACCTGTTTTTTTTTCGGGCAGTTACTCGAAGTATTTCAGCTGCCCGCACTTAACTCACAGCTCCCGGACGCTGAACGCCCATGACTAGGCTATTGAGAGCCTCGCTCCCACATAATTATCTCTATAAAACTTTGAAACTAATATTTCATTCGTGCATACTTCTCAGCCTGGGATTACTTCGGGGATCAAGTTTTTCTCTTCACACTTTCACAATCTCTCAATAAAACTCTTTAGAAGCTAATTAGGAGCTGAAACAAGCACAGTTAGCGTGATGAAGTTCGTCTTAAAGCGACTAGTCGCAAATAACAGCAAATGGCTGCATTGGCGGCAAAGCGAAAGCTTTGGCTCAATGCCTCGCCATTCAGTTTTTCAGGCGCGGGACTGCAGTGACAAACCGCTAAACCAATCGCGTGCACTGACCTCATTTTAAGGGGAAATGCAATGCGAGCCACGTGCAAGTCGATGTGAAATTGAGGTGTAAACATCAGTACCCTCGAATCCCTCTTTTGGTCACCAGTCGAAAATGGTCGCCGGTTCGGTGCGAGTCGAAGGTGTGAATGAGTATCACGTTGAGTGTTGGATACCTCAAAGCCCGTTAATTCTGGCCGCTCGGAACTTCGTACCGAGAAAGATTAATGGTACGAACCTTGATTTTCCACAGCGACGCTTGGTCCGGGGCCCATGCCGAGAAACTTGGTGTGGTGCACGTTCGGCACATTTCCGCAGAACTACGACGCAATCAACACGAATAAAGCTTGCGACTACGTGTTCATACCAATGTACGTTCGTGACCACGACAGTCTGATCGACGACAGCCACGCGGTCCTGCAGAAGATGCTCGCCATGCCCACGCGACCTGGTATAAGCACCAAGTTCGCCATCAGCTTTCCGCACCGGCAAGTTGCTGTTTTGTTCCCAATTTCCTAATTTGTTTGTGTATACAGAACTGTGTTACGCTCTCACTGCCTCACTTACTCACTCACTCTCTCACTCACGTACCCACTATCACTCACTTACTCACTCACACTCAAAAACTCACTATTTCTCGCTCGCTCACTCACTCACTATCTCTCGCTCACTCACGCACTATCCCTCACCCGCTCAAGCACTCACTCATGCACTCACTATCGCTCGCTCGCTCACTCACTCACTCACTCGTTCACTCCCTCACTATCTCTCCCTCGCTCACGCACTAACTATCCCTCACACTCACTCACTCACTATCTCTCGCTTACCCACTTAAACAGTCAACTCACTCACTATCGCTCGCTTGCTCACTTAAACAGTCAACTCACTCACTATCGCTCGCTTGCTCACGCACTCACTCACTATCTCTCGCTTGCTCACTCACAAACTCACACAGTCCACTCACTCACTCACACAATATCTCTCGCTCGCTCACTCACACACTATTTCTCGCTCGCTCACTCACTCACCCACTTACGCACACTCGCTCACTCACTATCTCTCGCTCACTGGCTAGCGCACTCTCTCACGCGCTCATTCGCTCACTCCCTTCCTCACTCACTCACTCACTCACTCACACGCACTCTTTATTTCTCGCTCGCTCACCAATGCACTCACTCACGCACTCAATCACTCACTATCTCTCGCTCGCTCAGGCTCTCACTCACTCACTATCTCTCGCTCACTCACTCACTCACACAGTCCACTCACTCACTATCTCGCTCGCTCACTCGCGCACTCACTGTCTCTCTTTCGCTCACTCATTCACTCACTCACTCACTCACTCACACTCGCTCACTCACTGACTCACTCACTATCTCTCGCTCGCTCGCTAATGCACTCACTCACGCACTCATTCGCTCACTCCCTTCCTCACTCACTCGCTATCTCTCGCTCGCTTGCTCACTCACTCACTCACTATCTCTCTCGCTCACTCATTAACTCACTCACTCACTCACTCACTCGAAGACTTTTCGGAAGGGAATCGACCGCAACTCACACTATTCTCCCCAGCCTATTTTTGCTCAGCCTAATTTCACTTTCGATAAGCTAACTCATTACTTATGTGTTATAAACCGGCTTACTATTGACTTAATACCCGTATAGTATCATGGTGGAGTTGTAGAGCATCTTCCGAAACCACCTATCTAATTGCTTTTGGTGTGATGCGTTTCGCGTAGTTGGTTTTTCTAAGTTCGCTATTAAAAAATAAATAACACAAAGCATGAAAAAGAAAAGCCACGCGACAAAGCTGTTGCGCACTGCAAGCGTGCAATTGACGATACCGGGTAGGCTGTGGCGTTATTAGTTATTGACCGTGTTGGCGATGCTTGACCAGCGTCATGAATTTGGGCCATCATCCCACGTGAATTCCAACATCAAAACACTTTGTTAACCGATTGTACTGCTTGAGAACAGCGCGATAGCAGTGCGCAAGTGCTCATTGTAGTGAATTTGGTACGTATATGAAAGGCATAGGTAGGCACAAAAAAAAAGAGAAATATTACTGCTTAAACGCTAATGCCGTGCTACAATCGTGGTCAGTGTACGACGTTTATGAATCGGGATTTGCGATAGTATAAGGCATTACTTTCATTCGACATAAAAGACCTTGAATGATACCGAAATCGGGCAAATTCCACCTATTTTTAACACATGCAGGAAGAACGCCGAAGTTATTGCTCACGTCAAGGACCCTCAAGGCGAGGCAAAGCTTCTGGAGTATTGGAACAGGAACGTGTTCCATCACTGCCGTCCTTGACTTGGAAGTCAAGCCCTGGGAGCATCTTGAAATCCAGACGGAAGTTCGGGCGGTGTTCGATTTACTGAAGGTATGGAATTCAGAAGAGAGGCAGGAGTCAAAGAAAGATGGAAGCTTGGGATGAAATTTCAGTATCAATTCCAAGAAACATGTAAACTGGGGTTGAGATGTAGCCTGAGATATCGACAAACCCTGAAGAAAAGTGCGCTTGCCGAAACGTCGGCTACCGGGACCACCCCTGTTTGCGAATTGTCATCTCAATGTAGGGATGACGTTTATAAATGCTTGACTTCACAGTCAGTTCATTATTTCGTAAGGCTTCCTATCGAATACGGGTTTAGTTCATAGGGCTGTCCTATTGTATACTGGGCTAGTTCGCCTTGATCACGTGACAAAAAAAAAAAACCATGGTGGGCCTTGAGCTCCACTACGCATTACTGTAATGCACCCTTTGCCACCGCCTCCTTGATTGCTAGCCCGGCTCTGGCTTTGGTTCCCACTAAGTGTGCTTAAAGCCGCACGTGAACCTAAGCAGTGGCCCACTTTTTTTATGCTTATGCTCATAATGATTAAGTATGTTCGAGTGCTTTTTAATTGAGTGCCCTTTGGAACACACACTTTCTGCGCATTTCGCTTGTTTTGACACCCGACACAATTATACGGTTCTTTCACGCAATGTTGTATGCGTTATGGAGAAACTCTCCCACCACATGACAATCTTAAAGTATTTTTCTTTCTTTTGGGACTGCTTGAACGATGGCGTGGATTTGTGGTAGAACTCCTGCTTGCCATGCAGAATGCATGGTTTAAACTCTCACTCGAACCGAACATTTCTGTAATATATGTATTACTGCCTTGACTTTCCGCTCACAATCAGTGATGCCGACGCCGACATTGATATGCCTTCAAAACGAGCTACTTAACAATATCGTGTTAAAACATCACGGCTGTCACGTGATTGCGAATTTGGAAGCATTATAAGTTTAATAACGGTTTGGAGGATCTCGCAGTTGTCGACGCCAGCTGCATATGAAAAAAGCTCGCCCACTGATAATGTACTCACGATTGAAGTTTAATAGAGACACATTCTACACACACATGTGGTAATATTATTACGACTCCCTGTTTTGGTTGAATCCGATAAACACTCACCGGTAAAATTTTCGACTATTAGGATTTACGGGATGAGCACCAATTTTAAAAAGACACTTTTCACGTTGTAATGGCATTTTCAAACTTGACAGTCGTCAGTTGAAAGGATTGCACCCGCATAAGCGGCAGCAAAGTCGTATTGTAGGCCTGCGTCTATTACAACAAGCTTTAAGGTCGTGACCAAACAAACTTAGGTGTTTTGTATTCAAGTGTTTGTGCTTGACTGTGCATGTGATTAAAGGGGTCCTGAAACACTTTTGCAAGTACCATGGAATGAATTCACTGGAAGAGCTCATTGCCTTATTAATTGAACACCGTAAAAATTTTAGGAATCTGTCCAGTGCGAGAGGAGTTACAAAACTGCAATTGCATTCTCTCTTCTCTCGTCCCGACGAAAGCGCTGGAAGCTAAGCAAGGAGGGGTGGCAGGGGCAAAGAAAATACGTCATCCGGCACCTCGTGATCTTCACTTTTTTCTCTTTAAATGCTTGGCTTTTTCAGTGTGATCACGCGTGCACGTGTGGACAAGTCATGGGCTCCCCACGGACGATTTCTGTAACGACCGAGCGCACCAGGTTCAAATCAGCCAATGGTTGATAGATGGGGTTTCTGCGAGTGTTTATTTAGCGTAGATGAAAACATATCAAATGAGCACATAATATATTGCACAAGAATATTCCCCCACGCAAAAAAGAAACGTGCTTGCATAACATTATAAAGGAACATTCAACAAACCATTTCCTTTAAGAAACAAGCAAAAATAAAATTAAATAGACAGCGTTGTTTAGGAGGCAAGTTCATGGTAAGGATATTGTGGGGAACAGTATGCGTAGTTCTTTATTTGAGGTTTCCGGAATGTTAAAAAAGG